CTAAGCAAATAGATTAGGTAGGCTAATGGATGAATGGGCTTAACAGCGGTAGTAATGGGATACAACTCATAAACAGGCATATGCGGTAAAGTCATAATGCGGTATGAAGAACAGCTGCAGGTCATTGCTCAGATCTAGAAATTCCCAGTAGTTAAAAAGGCTCTGTTAAGCGAACATTGCCTCACTGTTAAAATGTTCATTTGTACCAGTCATGCTGCTGGTGTGAAAAAAGGCCTATTTCCCAAGTATGCACTGCATGCATGACTCAGCGTGGCATACAGTGGATGGTGGATCAAAGACAACTACTGAAGTGACTTGAATTATCTGTCTTCTCTGTTGAACTACCAAGTCACTGAAACTGCAGGATCTTATTCTTGTGTTCCGATACTTCCAAAAGGAGTTCTAATTTCTTTTCTGCCTTTTTTCTTTTTTATTCGCTGGCCTAGTTTCATCTCCGTCATATTTTAAGAATTGTATATCATTTTATTCAGTGCGGAGATTTTTACAAAACAGTTTTCTAAACTCAAGGGTCAGGCTTTATTGTCCCCACAAGGAAATTCGCTGTGTTAATAATCTGTGTTTAGGCACAATGTGGTACTCGGTGTGGCAAAAAAATATGTCCACCATAGACTGTAAGAAACAGATGTCACTCATTGGTTTGTCACTGAACAAAGTGCTCTCCATCATACTCAACCCATCTCAAGTGTACAGTAACTCTTCCTTCTGTGACAGGTGAACAACACTTGTCAGGCACCAGATTTCACACAAATATTTCGGTATTGTGCTTTCTTGCAGTTGCTTTTTTTATAGTACACATATTATTTATTAAAGCAATTTGCACTACTCTCTTATACAATCTTGGTCTTATTTAACTTAAAATCATTTTTATGTTTTATTTTCTTTGTTTGTTGTATACTGTTGTATACATAAAAACTTTGCACCATCTCACAGTATAACGTCCTCACTATGCACCTGCTTTTATTCTCTAAGCAGCACCAGCCATTGCAAGCTTTCCTCATTGCTTCATTTTCACCAACATGTACGTGGCCTGAGAGCAAATGGACACAATTAAGAAAAAAGCAAAAAAAATGCAAAACACAAAAACAATGAAATAGAAAAAAAAAACAAAAAAAAATGAAAAGAAATAGAAAGAACAGATTCCAAGCACAAGGAAGTGTTTCTGGAGACATAACCGACGGACCACTTGCAGGAACCAAAATATGCTAGGTAAGCGTGTTGTAATCTCATGATTCATATAATACTGATGACGGATTTTTAGGCTAATAGTTAGGCTAACACACTTACCTCTCATCTTTTCTTTCCTCGCAAAACCGATACATCCTCCACTTCTTTTAAGTGTCTCCCAGCACAATTCTTAGCATATTTTGGTTCCTGCAAGTGGTCCGTCGGGTTATTGTCTCCCCAGAAACACTTCCCTTGTGCTTTGGAAATCTGTTTTTTCACATTTCAGTTTTCGTTTTTTCTATTTCTGTTTTCTTTTTTCCTATTTCCGTTGTGTTTTGGGTGCTTTTGCAGCATTTTTCTTATTGCTGGTGTTTTCTTAAGTTGCAGTCCGTTTGGCCTCCCAGGGCCAGCGTAACATGGTGGCCACAGGGGCTGCTGTCTAGCAAATGTTACAGGTTTCTTCTTGAAAGCTTAAAGATGGAAGCAAACATTCATCTGACTGAGAAGGCGTCACGACATGCTGAACAGGACATGTACAGAAAAAAAAAAAAAAAAAAAAAAAAAAAAAAAAAAAAAAAAAAAAAAAAAAAAAAAAAGAAAGAACGGTGTCACAGAGCCAGATAAGCAGCATGTTTATGAGGTACAGTGCATCCTCGGAGAAGGTGAGGCTGAGAGAGCTCAGGTGCATTGTAGCATTGCAGGTTCAAATTCAACCCACAACCTTGTGGGTCATCCTCCTTCTGTCACCCTCCTCTGGGTGCTGCCTAATAAAGCAGAAATGTGCTGAAAAAGATGAGCACGCACTGAAACAGGTCAAGTGAAGAGAAGTGAGGGAGGAGAACACAATAGTGGGGAGGCACGAGGAGGAAAGAAGGAGCGAGAGAGATTACGCGTAAGCAGCAAAGTGGGTGGAAGTGAAAGGTTTTGGTTTACAAACAGTGATTTGGGAAACGGAGAGCAAAAGAAACACTCCAAAATGGAAGACACGTAAAGCCAGGTCAGCCATATTAGCAGCCTTCAGTGACCAGAGATTGTTGCCTAGCAGCATGCAAGAATAGTTTTCTCCTCTTATCATGTCTTTTCTTCATATCCCATCAACCTCCTCCTCTTTTCTCCTCACCTCGCCTCCATCTCTCTGCTGTCTTCTCTGGGCTGTCATCCTCACTCTCATTCATTTTTCCCTTCACCCCCCCTCCTCTCCGCTCACAGGCTCCACTTTTCTTACCTCGGCATTAGGCTTGTGCTGCCTCATGCCAGCAGCACAGTTTTACGTGTGTGCACGTGTGTGTGTGTGTGTGTGTGTGTGTGTGTGTGTGTGTGTGTGTGTGTGTGCGTGTCTGTGTGTGTGTCTGTGTGTGCGCATTCCTCATTCCAATCCTTTCCCCAGTGTATAAATCTGGCTGATGCAGCCGTTACACCAGCTCTGTGCTGCATCAGGATTACATGGCACATGTGAAGCCCGTGTCCTCCTACGCTTGGTCAAATACAGGATGACACATGGCATCAAGCATGGAATTTGAGTGTGTTTGTGTGTGTGTGTGTGTGTGTGTGTGTGTGTGTGTGCCAGTCCCTCTGATGCTGGAACTATGGAAGTTAGACTTGTGATACCAAAATAGCCGCCCAAATATGTGTTCAGACCTTATCTAAGAGGCAGTTACAAACTTTTTTAAATACCAGACGCAACTTTACAGCTTTTTTCTTAACAGTAAAATAACTACAAATGGTTAAAATAAACCTATCCCCACAAAGCTGCATGTCTTTGGACGGTGGGAGGAAGCCGGAGTACCCGCAGGGAACCCACGCAAACACGGGGAGAACATGCAAACTCCACACAGAAAGACCCCGGCCTGATGTTGGAATTGAACTCAGGACCTTCTTGCTGTGTGGCAACAGTGCTAACCACCGTGCCACCGGGCTTCCTCCCAACGTCCAAAGACAGCTTGTGGGGATAGGTTAATTGGATAATCCAAATTGTCACTAGGTGTGAATGTGCGAATGAGTGTGAATGCTTGTCTGTCCTTGTGTGTTAGCCCTGCGACAGACTGGCGACCTGTCCAGGGTGTACCCTGCCTCTCGCCCTATGACAGCTGGGATAGGCTCCAGCGCCCCCCGCGACCCTGAAAAGGATAAGCGGAAGCGAATGGATGGATGGATGGTTAAAATAAAGGATGAAAGTGAAGCTGCTAATTTACTGTTAAGTCTACATTCCTGCTCTCAGCAAGGACCATGAGCTGTGTGTAGCATCGGAAACAATATGTGGATACATGCACTGGAAATGAGCTTGCTCTGAAAGGTAGCTGGGCTCTCTTGTTCATACAGCAGAGGCTCAGAATGGTGCACATCCACATCAAAAGCAGTAGGTGAGGTGACTCAGGCATCTGACACCTCTTAGGTGAGGTGTTCTGGCCCTGGGGAAGACCGAAGACATGGGAAAACCTCAGTGTAACCCCAAGAAAAGCTGGAGGAGCTGGTTAGGAAGTCTCACCTCTGCTTAGACTGTTGAACCTGCGACCCAGATAAGAGGCAGAACATGGATGGATGCATATTATGAACCGTTACCTGTGCAGATTAAGCTCTACAGTAGACGTGTTATGTTCGATCTGCTTCATTGTTACTAAATCTATATCTTCTTTTTAGTTTGTGAGGGACAAAATATTGTAGCACTCTTAGCAACACATTATAGCACGACCTGTGACTAAGGATAAAACTCCCCTCTAAATAAGTGGAAGTTTTATGCATTTTCTTTGAAATTACAGTGTAAATATATACAATATAAATGGTAGGTATGCTATAATAAAAAGGTAACAAATCAGATTTTTAAAGGAAACAAAGAAATAATTATACTGTAAGTAAATTTGACTACAGTGGTCCCTCGTTTATTGCGGGTGTTACGTTCTAAAAATAACCCGCGATAGGTGAAATCTGCGAAGTAGCCAACTTTATTTTTTATTATTATAGATGTTTTAAGGCTGTAAAACCCATCACTCCACACTTTATACACTTTTCTCAGACAGGCATGAACATTTTTACACTTTTCTCTCTTGTTTAAACACTCTCAAAGTTCAAACCTTCTTAGAAAAATAAGTCCAGTATTATAGAATGAAACCAAAGATCAAAACCTGTTTTCAGGTCCAGAACATGGAAATAGAACAGCTGCGAGAGAATCAATGGTGCAGAAGTAGAGGAAGCAAGAAGATTGAGTTGAATAAAGTTTGACTTACCTGACTGTTTTGTTTTGCTTAATGCGCCTTATAATCCTTTGACATTGACACTGTTGTGTTTGCTGTCTTCTGCTAGCGAAGATTTATGTAAATTTGACAAGCTGAACGCATTCTGTGCTGTACAGGAGACACAGCACCAGATTGATTGAAAATTGTCTACAACCAAGCAGGACGCTGAACACAATGCGTTGTAAACACACAATTTTTAAAAATGTGTGTCTACAAAATTTGATTCTGCATTATCTCTGTAGAGTATGCTCCCTCTTCTCGCTGGCCTACATTTGTTTTGCTCCCGTGCACCTGTCCTTGATGCGTCACTGCCCTTTTTTAAATGCATGCTACAATAAGCTCTAGCTACCTATGACCTGAATCTGAAAAAGTCAGAAAGAAAATGCAAATAAAGAGCGGAGCAGTAGTCTTTTAGCAGGTTTTGTCAGTGACCAAATAGATTTTTTTCCAAATGGATTTGTTACACAGCTCCACATCCAACCTCCACTCATGTGTGCATGACGAGTGTAAAAATTATGTCCCACTCTAAATGTTGGGATGTCAGTGTCTAATAGTAAAAGACTTGCATGTTCCCTTGTTTTCCAGGAGGTATGCCAGTGCCTGAGGTGGCGTCTGACACTGCCAGCGCTGCTACCATGTTGAGCCCCGTCCTCAATGCCTCCAACGGAGACGGCTCCGAGTCTGAAACCACCTCCGCCATCCTCGCCTCAGTCAAGGAACAGGTTAGAAGTCCGTGTGTGTGAATGTGCGTGTGAGCGTTCTTGCGAGTGTGCGTGCGACGTAAATGGAGGGCTGTCACAATTAATGAAATATGATCACCAGAATGTAGTGAGGATAATTCCCCATCCTTTCGGGGCGAAACAAGCTGACGGTAAACAGTAAACACAAATGATGGAATGCCCATCTGAGCTAATGTGTCACAAATATGTCACCACATTTTGATCTGTTAGGAGAGAGCCTTGGGCTACAGATGCTCAGTATTATTTTTGAAAATACCCTAATGCAGTAGGACGCATCATTCGCCCACATTTTGTCAAAGCCTGAGCAGCTTTGTTGGAAATTCTATGTGTGACTAAGCATCCAGCAGATTTTTTTACAGTACAGTCAAGATTGGGCAACACAGCTGGACTGTGTTTTGTGTTGGTTATGCATTAATGAAGGCTAAAGACTTTAATGATTTTTTATTTACAATCCCTTTTTTGAATACACTTAACTCAGGTATGCTAATTTTAAATTGTACTGATTTAGTTGTATATATAACAGTAAGTCATGTAATGTTGTGTTATAATTATCAGGCTTTTAATACATGAGCTTGTGGTAAAGAAAAAAAATACTGCAAAAGACAATGAATTTGAATAAAACACATGGAAATAGAAAAAATATAACCAGAGTTATATACAATGATACAGAGATACAATGAAAGTGGACCAAGATATTCACAAAACAAGTTTTTTTTAGGGAGACATGATAGAACAGATGCAGAAGTGACAGATGTTATTAGCCATTTACTGGTAGCTACTGCGTTATTGTCTCTCCAAAAACACTTCCTTTGTGGTTTGTGAGTTTTGTTTTGCTTTTGTTGGGGGTTTTTTGTGAGATTTTGCAGTCTTTTTCTATTTACTGCCCTTTTTTTAAACTTGCAGTGCATTTGACCTTTCAGGGCCACTGTATGTAATCAACCAACCCATAACCAAAGATAAATGTGATAATACCTTAATAAGCAGGTTTCAAAGAACTGGTCAGACCCGTGAATATCTATATCATAATTTTGACTAAGGTAAGAAATGAAATGTCTTGAGGGAAGCACGGTGCCACAAAGTTCTACACATAGAGGCTTTGTTTGGATTTATTGTTTCCCCAACTGTTGAAAAGGCCAATAGCACTGGATTTATTTGGAATCGTGCAACAAAAGCTGGGTAAATACTACACTAAACAAAGTTAATTCTTCAGATCTAATCTGCTTTGAACTGTCAAAACAAACACTTGGTGCATTTCAGATTCGATGCTCATTATTGCAGCTTATAGTACATTATGTTACATACAGCATATGCATCAACACAGGAGTGTTGGGATCCTAAAGAATGAGACAAGAAACAGAAGAGTTGAAGGAAAAAAACCCTTTCTATTAGTTATAATGCTCTTGATGGCAAGTTCATACAACAAGATGTATAAAGCAGTAGAGTGCTAAGTAGAAAAGCACTATATGACTCAGCCCATTTACACGTTTGAATTCATGTTGGGATATTTCTAATCCATGCAGGGTCAAAATTATGCATACAGCCTCAAATATAGACATACACTCATTTAAATATTTTAATAAGTGGCGCTGTTCTTCAATGTCTTTTAACTTGACAAGGCCAAGACCTATTAACTTCTCGTTAGTGATCATGATTAACTACAACTGTTAATTTTTCTTTGCCGATTAACAAATAGCCAGAACAATGGAAAAGTTCAGGGGACTCAGTGATGATCTAAGAAGAAGAACTGAAGATTCTGAAGTTCACACAAGTTTACACAAATCGATGCTTAAAAGATAAAAAGAAAGCAGGCTAACATTAAGCTTGGTCTTCCCAAAGCCCCAAACTCAACTCTACTGAAAGTTTGTGGATTCTGCTTAAAATGTGGGTCTGTACAAGGAAACCAACCAATTCAAATAGACTGTACCAATTCTGAAGAAGGGTCGTCAACTATCCAGTCAAAATTATGTTATGTAATTAGATGACTGCCAAAGGGTCTAGTCACGGTGCAATGTTTTAGGGTACATTTAACCAAATATTATTTGGGTTGTATGTATATATTCTTTGTACAGCAGCAGCAACCAACCTCTGGGCCACGTACCGGTCCGTGAGTTGTTCGGCACCGGCATAGCTGGATTGGCCATTTGCCCGGTGGGCTGATGGTGAGTTTTCAATTTTATGGGCGGATGTTTTTTTGTTTGTTTTTTTGTAATGGTATAAACAATGAAACGTGGGGATTGGCTAATGTGTCATGATCAACTCTGGGCTTGACCAATTACGGCCGAGGAGGTTGGATGGAGACCCCGCCCCCTTGCTTGGGCAATAGCTCTGAAAGCAATCTTATCACAGACAAACAGAAGAAAATGGTATTGAGTAGAGATGGCACGATACCACTTTTTTATGTCCGATACCAATACCGATATCATAAATTTGGATATCTGCCGATACCGATATGAATCCGATATAGTGTTTTTTTAATCAACAAAACTGTTTTTTAAAATATCTTGCTGCATTTTGCAAGTCTGCAAGTTCATACTCAAGTTTAAAACAACAACTACACTAAAGCTATTCTGTTATACCTGTATACAAAAAAAATATTTCATAGTTCAGCAATACTGATCAATCTAATAAACTTAAACCTACACCATCCTCCCTATTCTGGTATTTTAAAGAGTACTTAGCGTAAATATTAAGCAACCTAACTAATAGGGTTCCAACTCCCAGCAACAACAAAAATAAATAAATAAAAAATAGGGAACCACCCCTCACGCTCCACCTCATGATGCTTAATCGACGTAATCAACCTTAATTTGATGCAGTGTGAAAAAAATGCACAGAAATCAATTATTTTTCAAGAAATATTAAATAGATTCAACATCTTTCTTCAACAAAATTGCAGACTGCACAGATGGTACCTTCCCAAAGGAAAAAGTACTATAGCTTACTAGGGTATATATATTAGACTTAATAGTCACTATATACAGTAATTGACTTCTATTCATTTTACATCAAATTAAAACTTTGGGTGTCAGATAATTATTTATTAAAAGCTAGACGTTTTAAATGAGAATAAGAAAGAAAAGTATGTCTTTGTGCCCCCTTTTCCCAGTTAATGCCCTATCGGCCCCCCTGGCTAAACTTTGCTAGATCCGCCCCTGCACAGTTACCAGCGTCAGCTACGTAGAAAAAGATCCTGGTGTAGAAAGTAATATTAAATAAATTCTAACAACAGCTTATCAAGCTTAAACGTGCTGCTGTTGTTCAGCCGCTGGTTTCCTCTTTCTGGTGCAAAGTGGGCCAAAAACAAAGACGGACTCGCGACAGAAAAGCCAATCAGCTGATCATTTAAGCAGTTTCACGATTGAAGTAGCAGCCGGAGAGCGAGAGGCAGTCGCTCGTTAAGCTTAACGCAGGAATGCTTTACAAACATTCAGAGATGGACTTACACACTTGCTTTACTTCTCTCGGGGATAACTTTGTCGGAGATGAAATGCCAGGTTGCTAGCGAAGCTCCAAATGCTATCCAGACCACAGGTCCCGCATGCCACAGCCGCTCTATCACGTGATGCATACTGCTCCGACATGCTAACGTTCTGAGGTGAGTTACGGCGTGTTGCAAGTTTTGTGAGGTGCTTTCGTGATATTTAATGGATCGGATTACATTTTTTATTTTTCCGATCCAGTCATTTAGGTCAGTATCGGACCGATACCGATACGTAATATCGGATCGGTCCATCTCTAGTATTGAGATGAAAAGGAATGCAATTTGTCCCATACTTCAGCTAGAATGAAAAAAAAGACACAAAGCTGAAGCTATTCTGTGTCTTTACGCTGTCAGCTGCCTCTTCTTCTCTCATTCCCTCCCCCTCCCTCTCTTGTCAATCATGAAACTGATCAATGATCGGCTGATCGGCTTTTCTCTTTTGTTTATCGTTCACTTTGCGCCAGAAAGACGAAACCAGCTGATGTTGCGCTAAAAAACAGCAGCACATTTAAGCTTAGTAAGCTGTTGTTAGAATTCATTTAAATGGTAAATGGTAAATGGCCTGCATTTCTATAGCGCTTTACTTAGTCCCTAAGGACCCCAAAGCGCTTTACACTACATTCAGTCATTCACCCATTCACACACATATTCACACACTGGCAATGGGAAGCTACAAGCTTAATATTAATTTCTAGTATCAGCTGATGTTTCTTGGAGCCACAGCTGTAAAGCTGCTGGTCATGATGTCGGTTTGGATATGTGGTGAAAGGGAAACATGAAGATGAAACCAGGAGATGTCCTTACTGAATCATCAGAGCTGAACAGGTGATGGAGAAACAGGTTTACCTTTTAGGTGACGTGAATGAGTTGAAGGGAAGTTATGAACTGTTTCTGAGAGACAAATAACACCAGGATCCTTTTTTTACTTAGCTGACAGCTGGTAACTGTGCAGGGGCGGGTCTAGTAAAGTTATGCCAGGGGGCCAGGTAGGGCATTAACAGGGAAAGGGGGGCAAAGAAATACTTTTCTTTCTTATTCTCATTTAAAATGTCTAGCTTTTAATAAATAATTATCTGAATCTTACAACCAAAGTGGTCATCAGATGTAAAATGTATAGAAATCATAGATAAATACCAACAAGATAGTGTACATCACTGTCACAACAGCGTTTGTTTTCATTTAAAGGCTTTATGGCTTTTCCTATAATACCTGGTGGGCCGGTCTCCATGACACCTTAAAGGTCCGTGAAAATATTGTCGGACATAAACTGGTCCGAGGTGCAAAAAAGGTTGGCGACCACTGGTGTACAGTATATTGAAGCTGTATGTATAATTTTCACTGTGTGGATTAGAAAAAAATCCTTAAAAAAAGTCTTCAAAGAAATCATTAAAAGCCCCCAAATTACCATAACATTCATGCCTATGACAAGTGTATATCAACTCAACTGTAAACATCCAAAGTGGGGATGTTTACTCTGCATGGAGCTGAACAGAGGAAATGT